TATCGTAATTTTTGCTTTTAGGAGGAGAACAAAAAATGTGTGTCCATACTTAAAAAATCGTGAGAGCGACGCTCACACGAGCGAAGGCATTGCGCACCGTAGAGCAAATTAACGAGGGTTAGCGCAAGCTCCTACTGCTATATTTGATTGATCCCATCTCTCGATCGTCATCGCAAACGCATCGTTCGTAATATGAGCAAAGTATAATTTAATTTTCACCCAAGATTGTATAACGTGCTTTGAGTCATTTTTTTTTTGCCGTTAGCCATCCTTCCTGAACATTATTCCGACAGAAGCTCAAAGCTGGTGATGCCTGTATAAAATAAGTAGTAAATTATTTGGTGCACGAGCCGTGAATTTAACGGTGCGACAGCTGAACTCCGTTCGGTGCTTTTTCCTATTTTTCCATCGCGGTGCGCGTGTATGTACTCTATCTTTGGATTATTTACAACAACCGATTTGTTTCTCTCGGGTGCAACGGTACGCGCCTCCAAAGCGCACTTTTCTTTTAATTTTACGTGCATTACGGCCCTTTTACGCGTGTACGGCAATTTTGCGGCTTCAAACGTGTATTCGTTTTCGCGCGAAATTTATCGAAGATGTATATTACACGCGGTGTATCGACGCTGAGTGCAGTGCATGCGGACTAAGTACGCGATAACCGAACGGGTTTTTAACTGCGTGCCTCTAGTACTTTGTAAATTATATTAGGTATGCTTCTTTTTTTAAACTTTTTTTCTTCATCGTGATTTATTTATTGCTTCGCTCTACGTAATATAATTATGTTGGAAGATCTCGGTCATTTGCGACATCGTTATCCAGCAATACATATACGTGGAATAGCTGTTTTTTATTAAAGCGAAAAATTCATCTCTGCTTGCGTGTTGATTGTCAATAATTGAATTCGATACATGTGAGAATCTAATGGTCAAGCGGAGGAAAGAAAAAATTCGTTTATTTATTTCCAAAAGGATAATATGAATACATATGAGGTTAAAATGTGGGGCAAAGATTTTCTATTATTGCAAAAAAAAAAAAAAAACTTTGAAGGTTTATCGCTCTGTCGGTAGAAAAAAATAACATTTACCACCGACGCACATCCGTTTAGGACGATCACAAAGGCCCGGAGGAGATGCGCACCAGTGACGAAATCTACTATTACAACGAGAGAATTCGGTCATGACATTTTCAACTTTTAAAGCAACGTTTTGCTGCAAACGTTAAATAGCCGCTATTAAAATTTAGTAAGGGATTAAATATAAAAAACATCGAGACTTTACATCTTTTTTGCACTCCGTTCCACCTTCACGTGCGTAAATTATGTTATTCGTGTAAGTTTTACAGACAGTTTTCGAAATAATCTCGCATATTCACCGTCGCCAGAAGTAAATTACCTTAGGATCAACTTTACAGTCCTTTGGGTAGAGTTTACCTGCAAGGAAAAATATACTTTTTTAGTCTATAATCTAATAAAGATAAGCGAAACAAAAGATAGCTCTTTAAATTTAAAACCACTTCGTTTTACCTCAAAAAATATTGATAACGGAGAAGTAAAGAATTAAAGACGCCTATACTTGGCTTTTAACGCAACTGTTCTACAATCGTCTTTCTTTTACATTCTCCCTCGTCATCGTCCCATATATCTATCAAATTATGCTCCATTGGTATCCTTTTATTCGTATGAAGAAGACCCATGGATTGTGCCTATACTCTGCCTTATTGGTTGAGGGCTGCGAAGAACCCAACAATCTGATGGGTCGATCTGCTCCTTTCGAAACTCAAATACACATTGACGCAGCAAGAACCATCACTTTGATCCGTATGTATATGGACGCAAAGCTCCGGCCGATTAGAGCTAAAATCGTTATCCTGTACGTGCACAAAAAAAAAAAAAGAAAAAAAAAAGACCAGCAGCAGAAGCCATCATCCGGCTCATCAAATAAGCTGCTAGCACCAGCCAGTGCAGGAGTTATGGGTACAATAGCTTTGTATGGGTACAATGGGGAAAAAAAAAAGAGAGAAAAGAAAGAGTCGAGGTTGGCCGATCGATCGCGATCGCGATAATCATCGCCGCCACCGTGTGTAAGGTATAGCTTATTCTGTCCGTCCCAAGCGAACCATGGCCGATGGCTTTGGGTCAAAGGGTGTGGCCTATACGGAGATTGATTCGACGCGCCGGCTTCTGCGCTGACACGCTTCGCCTGTTACACACGTCGCGGTTTGCGCGTAAGTGCAAAATGGCCGAGCGAGCTTCCTTCGCTTCCCTCCCCCGATAATACATTTATATGTACATACATATACGTATATGTATATACCTGTGTGACTTTTTTACCTCCCCCATTGTACAGGGAGCCGACCAATCGTAGCTAAGGATAGCTCCCATACGGCAGCGAAATCAGAGCGACACGCGATTTGCGCCCAGAGCTTTTCTTCTCTCTCCTTCTCTATACCGTTGTTAGTTGTATACGTGGCTCATCGTCAAACTCTTTTTTTTTTTTTCCACTTGCATAGATAATATGTATATACACAGGTACAACAAGCACATCACGTATATATACCTGCATGCACACAGATATATCTCTCGCGCCCTCGATACACACACACGCGCGCATGCAGGGGCCGCGAGCGCCAGCACGAACTAGGATATGCATGGTTGCTTCCATGCATGCGATAACTACACGAATGCCGCGCTGATGGCACGTACCCATATACTCATACAATTGAAATTGCGGGTCATTTGTAAAGCTCGGAATCGAGGTCGACCGGGTGTACACGGCGTGAAATTTTTCTCCATTCGTGATCGGCAAAATTATATTTTTGTCAACTCCGTGTGTGTATCTCTATATATACGAGTGAAAAATTATCCTCGAGGATAGACGAGGATGGTGATTGTTAATTATTTCACGTGTAGGGAGGAAATGAGCTTTGGATTAGTTGTTCCCTCTCGGATTGAGATGTATCCTTCGTCACTCCGAATCTCGTTCTCGCCTATACATATAAGTACACGATGCATAGTATACGGAGTTGCAGAGGAAGTGCGTGTTGCTCGCAGGCGGGGAAAGAAAGAAGGAAGGAAGGAAGGAAGCAAAGGGGAGGAAAAGAAGCTGTGTAGAGGTATACAGGCATACATACGTGCAGTATAAAACATATAGTCGCGGGGACGCGAGAGAACGGGAAAAGGTGGTCTGCGTGGGTGTCCCAGAGCGGGAGTATATATATCTATACATACGTGTGTGTGTGTGTGTGTGTGTTGGAGAAAGAAAGGCGAAGGGGGAGGGAGGACGATGTGGCTATTATAGGCACGGGACGCCTTGACCTCGCGCTCGTGTGTGCGCGACCGCGTCAATGATTACCTGGCGAGAGCGGCAATAGTTATAATAACCGGATGCAGCGGAGACGCGCATCTATCCCTTTACTTACCTCCCGGGGGTATACATTATATTATTCCCCTACGCATATTGGTCCCCCTCTGTATTATAATATAATGCGAGTTTACTCGTGCATCTGTATATATATATATATATTGTACACCTTTGAACTCGCAACTGGTGGACGTATATATGTTATACTCGTGTTATTTCGGGGATGGCCAGAGCTTGCGACTGTCTCTTCGATGATTCTTTTGTCGCGAACGCCCGAACGTAGGCATGTATGTACATATACATAGTTTGCGACAATCACGGTCATCAAAACACGTTGTCACATATTAGAGGGAGGTATATCGTATACCTCAAAACAAACCGGATGAAAGTTCCGACTGGAGGACGATAGTTTTTGGGAGCTCATACTCCCAGAGGGGGTGTCATCGATGATGCATGTGCATATATGTATAACGCATGATTATGCCTCGATTTGCCTATAATGCCTCTTGAATCATGCATATATGCGTCACGCTTTATTTCTCAACTCTCCCCCCCCCCCCTGTATGGATTAAATCAGTTTGGTAATTTTATTTGCGTATACGTGCTGCACTCGTTGCTCTTCCTGTCCCGTAATTTAGCTGCAACAACCAGCTCTTCATAAAACACCTTTTCGACCGCTGCCAGCGCATGTAATGATTGCAGAGGCGAGGCGGGACCGGAGGGTAGAATGACACGCCACAGATGTATAATTCACTTTTTTTCTTCTTCTTCTTTTCTTTACGCGTAAGGGGATGAAGGATATTTTTTTTTCTGTTCGATCCGAGACCTTACGCGCAAAGAGGAGGAGGAGGAGCTCGAGGGGACCAGCCCCTCCGTGGACATTGAGATGCGCGTTTGCGAACGCGTGCACTGCGATGCCGAGTGTCGAAGGGGCGGCACCGAGAGGGTACACACCACAAATCACGCTCGGCTCATCCTTATCCTTGCCGCATTGTACACGTGTATGTATATATGCCTGCGACGCTGCACTCTGTTCCGGTGCCATTGTCATGTACGCAACAACTTGGAGGAATCTCACCTCTGATCCTTCCCCCCCCCTCCCTTGTAAATTTGAATTTTTTCGCCCTCTACGCGTGGATTTTTTTTTCTTTTTCTGTCTTTTTGGTTTGAAATGTCACCAGTAATGGAGAAAAAAAAAAAAAAAAACGGTGGTCGCCTCCTTGCGATGGTATCTTAGGTGTATCAATATAATGCTGCTGCGATGCGTGACATATCCCATCCGAGGGGTCCGAGGAATACACGTATACCCAAGCGCGCACTGCAGTTCGATGCCGCGTGCTCTCACCTGGTGCATATTAAAGAGGTTCCCCCGTGTCGCCTACAGGAATCACCATAAATGCAAGTCACACTGCCACACACTCTCTCCCTCCCCCCTTGTAATCCACGTCTTCCAAAATCTGCATTTCAAGACGCTGATACCCCCCCCTTCCTCCGAGCACCCCGTTTTATTCAGCCAAAAGCTGCTTTTCGAGTGCATATCTCATATATCTATCAATAATCACAATATGATGCAAATAGTTATGTACAATCTGATTTCCCGATACTTATATGTATGGATGCGCTTTTGTCTGTTCACAGACCTCGGATCTGGATACGTTGCTCTGCCAGACCTCGCAAGACCTCGAGCGGCTGCAAAGGCTCGAGGACGAGGACAAGGATGGCCAGATGGAGGAGTTTTTCGAGGTCGGCTGCAGGACCCAACAACAGCAGCAGACAAGTTTCGTCGTGACGACTACCGCGGTGGCGGTGCACGCAGCCAACCCGAGCCGGAACTCGAACCACCACCACCCGCACCCTCACCACCACCATAACCACCACCAGCAGCAAACGGCCTCAGACGACGACGTATTTTTGAGGCCACCCCTCTGGGAGGACATAACTTCCAGCATACAGAAGCTCGATCCCGAGAACGCCGACATGCTCGGCCAGTCCCAGACCTCGGCGCACGTGAGCCCCTTTTCAATTGTTCGCCCTTCCGCAGCTCTCGATCCATTATTATTATTATTATTATTATTATTTTTTTTTTTTTCATCCAAATACATCCACAACATCTATTGACCGCAACATCTCTCACGTGTGTCTGATGTGTGTTTGTTGTTTACACGGATGGCCCGCAGTTGCACGTGAAATTGGAGAATTTGACGGACGAGCCGGCGCCGCCGTCGCTCTCCTCGCCCCAGCCGGTGCTCTCGCCCCACGAGGTCAAAACCGAGCCCCAGTCGAGCCTTCCGACCCTCCACCTCCTCGAGGCGCCCGCCTCGTCCTCGAGCTACGCTGCCACGGCGAGTGGCAGAACGTCGCTCCACCATCGCAATGCTGCCGCCTTCAAGCTGTTTCCCTGCGCGAACAACAACAACCCCACTGCCAGCAACAACAACACGCAGTAAATATCCACCAGACAAATCCCTACGTCTCACCAGCAGTGCATAACGTTATTTGCTCTTCCTTAACAACAGCAACAACAACAACAACAACAACAACAACAGCAGTAGTGGCAACAACAATGGGACGGCGAGTAGTAACAACAACAATGGCAGCAGTACGGAGCCACAAGGGACTGGGAGCGCGGCCCTGTACGGCTCGATGACGCGGTTGATGTACGTGTCGCCGTTGACGCCGCCGATCTCGGACCCGGGCTCGCCTCTGGGAGGCCCGCCCAGGCGGACACCGCCGCCACCGTATCCCCAGCCGGCCCTGCTGGCCAACCCGACGAGCCACAGGATCCAGGCTGCCTCGATGACCGGCAAGTTCAATCGCAGGAACAACCCCGAGCTCGAGAAGCGCAGGGTCCACCACTGCGACTTTCACGGTTAGTCGGGCGCTCGAATTTACTTACAAGTATATACATATATATATACATGAAGTGACAATTTATGGTCTTTCGTTCGATTTTTCCAGGTTGCACCAAGGTCTACACCAAGAGCTCGCACCTCAAGGCTCATCAGCGGATTCACACCGGTAAGTCCCCCGTGTCCGACAAGTCCGGAGCTCATAGTCTCGCGATACTATATTTCTCGTTCTCCCGCGGGTATATAAATGTGCTCTGCACGCGTGTGGCGAGAGAGAGAGAGAGAGAGAGAGAGGATGCGATGCAGGGGAAAAAAAAGTAATCGACAAATAATTGGCATTCGAAAACGCGAGCGAAAGAGATTGATGATGATGACGGTGAAAAATGAGCGTCGTGCCGTGATGCAAAAAAGGAATTGGAGGAGGATCGGTTTGACGAATAGTCTCGCTATAGGGTTGTTGTTGTTGTTGTTGTTGTTGGGTGTAGGTATAGGTAAGGCTCGTATAGGAAGATGGTCGTGCGCGAATGATAATGAGGTATGTAGTTCGGTCTCCGGTGCTCGGCTCTCGAGTCTCTATCCTATAAATATACTCTTTCTCTCGTGTATAGAGCGCGTCTCTTTCTTTGTATGGGCGTGGTTCTTTCTCCGGTGCGCGCGAAAACGCAAGCCATCCGAGCTGGCGATTATCGGGACCGAGATGACGAGGTGAGATGTACAACCGAGATGCCGAGGGGGGTAAGCCTGAGCTTTTTTTTTTTTTTTTTTTTTTAATAACTTAATTTACTCCTGGGTGTCAATAAATAAAAACCGGGAAAATCGTTTTTTTTTTCAATACGCGTTGAAGCTAATCGGCTGTTAAGGTATATTAAGATCAAGGAGACGTGGTTTTTTTTAATGCCGGTGGTAAATAATTGTAAAAATAAAGAATGGCTTCGAGTGCGTTTCTAAAAAACCCGTACTTATGCGCTAATAACTGTATTAAGTGAAAAGGCAAATCATAGGTATAAGGTATAAATACCCACTGGGGGGTTTTAATGGGCAGTAACTCGACGACGCTTCGTTGGTGGTAAAATACTTTCTAAACGTACTTACATCGGTGTTTTCGTAGCGTTATTTTTATTAAAATTTATTCATTAATCGCATTTGGTCGCTACGTTATGTTGTTTTAGTTTTTTTTTTTTTTTTTTGTGAAATTCCAACAAGTCGACCGAGAGAGAATGAGATAATGGATCAGACGGACTCGTATAAATAAATATACAAGCGGGCATCTTTCCTAAGCCCGTAATGATAGCTCGGCGCTTTGACTAATTTTCCCTCCGTCCGAGGAGATTTTATCGCTCTCTTACGGTACTCTCTTTCTCTGATTAGTGTGCCACACGCACGCACGTGCACACGCCGATCTTTTATTATCATCAACCACGCGCAGCTTTACGAGTGCAATAAATGCAGCTTGTTTGTATACGCATTTGCTTTCTTTTCAATGATTTTATTAAATACAGCTCATGTGACTCGTGTATTACGTTTGTATACTTTTGACGATTACTGTGATCCGAATATTACGAGTTTGCAGAGTTCGTCAATTTTTCGATGATCAGTATTGAGCCTCTGTACAAGCACGTTCATCCGAAGAGAACATTGTCTGCAGGAAAAAAAAAATCTTATTCTATCACTCCTCGAAAACGCAGCGCGAGCAACCTCGAGCCAAAAAAACGGCTCTACACGAACCTGCGGTTGCTGACCACGCGTATAAATACATAGAAGAAAGAGAGAGGGAGAGAGAAAGAGCAGCCCATTCATCCGAAAGAGGCGTCGCGTCGTTTCCATTCATCTCCGGCGCGTATCCCAAAAAATGTTTTTTTTTGGGTTTTTCATGACAGCTCGTTATAAAATTAAAAACCAAACTGTATACCTAAATGTTCATGCTTTCGTTATTTATTGCAATACAATATAGTGCAATGTCAAGTGGTGGCGGCATGTGCACGGATGGTGCGTTTTACACAACGTGTCCGAGGCCGCGAGTCGCGCGTATGGAAAGTTTGCGCTGCGCTCTCTCTCTCTCTCCCTCGCCTAACGGGTTGAGAGCCTCGGGCACGTGGCTGCCTCTTAAATACACCTATAGTCGCCGTCCGGCTCTTCGTGAATGAAACTCGTGAACGCCAACCTCCTCCTCCTCCAAGACCTATACGCTATACGCGCGGTACAGCTCTCTCTCTCGTATATACACATTACGTATACCATGGAGAGAAAGAGCATTCACCAGATGCGGACACACTCGTACACCTACACCCATTTATACCTTACGTTACGTATATATACAACTTGTACGCGGTTTGTGTGAGTAAAGTGCGTGCGTGCGCGTAATAATATACGTACACACGTATATAAATGAGAGGAGAGCGCACCGGCGAAACTCGAATGCGCGGGCGCGAGGCGAGCAACATTCCACCTTCTTCCCGCGAGAGCTCGGCTTGAGCGCATTATATAGGCGCTTCCAACTTGGGGCTGCGCTGCTGCTTCTTCTTTTGATTTTTTTGTTTTCCATCACCCATGGTTGTATACCTGTATAACATCTTTACAGCTTGTATTAGTATAAGAACGGAAAACGGGACGATCTTGCCACTTGAGGTATACTTGTATAGGCACTCGCGCGCGTTGTATACAGATAGAGAGGAGAACGAATCTTCATGAATGAAAATCGGTATACGTATATACATGAGCAACAACACGCACCGAGGAAACTCGTTTTTTGGGAGGTCCATCTTCGTAATTTACTTCTTTTGTGTACGATACACATATTCTGAAGCACATGCGAGCTGACACACTGGTGGTCACACGTTGTATAAGCTTTTTTTTTTTTTTTTTTTTTTTTTTCTATATACGTAGATGCCGGTGTAAAGCAGGTACACCGGCATGTACCTACGAGTGCTTGGAAAAGAAAGTTGCGTATACACACATGCGTTTAGCGGAGAGAAAATTTTTGTAATTAATTCCGTCTTTTTTTTTCATGTCACGTGTGCTTTTTTTCCTTTTTATTTATCTCTAGCTCTGTTTTTCTTTGATCCTACTACTCAGATACGGACGTGATCGTGAATCAAAAGCAGACAAGCTTACAAAAAAAAAAAAAGCAACGATTCACCTGGTATATTTTTTCTTTTTTCGTTTTTCCAAGACGTCCTAATTGGTTGTTTTGCAGAGTATAACACAAAACTCAAGTGAATCGTAAATTTACCGAGGAGGGGAATAAAAAAAAACGCGAGCTTTCACACAGGCAATCGCGTTAGAATAAACTAATTCAAAATTTACGTGTACGCATACCTCGTTGATATTCTCGTCGCACCGGAGGTATAATAAACTTATACGATCCTTTAATGTCAAACCTTTAGCATTCGAAATTTCAAACTTTTCATCGTAAAAAGAATTAAAAAAAAAAAATAATAAAAAATTCCGTGCCACCTATCTGTGGCTCCATCTGCTTTTACGAGCTATACGCGTAATCAACTTAACAAAGAAAAAAGAAAACAACATTCACTTGCGATAGCGTTGTTACTAACTAAAAAACTTGGAGAACCAAATATATATATATCCCTATAGGAAAGTAAAACACTTTTCTCGATAAATAACTCGCATTACCTACGTAAATAATGGCTGAATTTCAAACACGAATTATTTCTCGCCCGATACGTGTGCCGCGAAGTAAAAACACGGTAAGTATATATACGTGGTGGTTCCTATACGGAGTGTAGAACACCGAAAACCACCTACGCGCCAAAGTTACAGGAAAAAAACTCTCCGGAGTGCTCGTTTGAATTCTAAAGTCGCAAGATCGGCATCTCATTTTTTTTCCGCTCGATGGAGTGTTTATTCGTTATGTACATACTTACACATATCCCACTTAACGGAACGACGATTAAAAAGAATATTACCGAAACAATAAAGGCCCTGCATTAGCAAGCCGTTACGAGAACAAAAATAGCCAGATGGAGATGGAGAAAAAAAAAAAAAAAAAAAAAGAAAAAGAAAAACCAGGCATACACCGATCACCACACAATGGGGCTCCATGACTGTTGTGTGTATCCATATACCCCACGCAAATTACAGCGCGGCGAGTAGGTATACATATCGCGCGCCCGAGCTCTCGAAAATGATAATCCCCGCGCAACTGCGCTTCGTAATTTCGTAACGGAGCGTTTTGTATTGGCAGGATGAAAGAGAGCGTCTTGTTCTCTTCTTGTACTTTCGAATTGCAAATTTTAACGAAGCGCGTGTCTTTTCGAGGCCCGTGAAAATATCTAGAGGTGCATTCCATTCCACAGCGCGAGTATGTATAAGCTGTAAATATCATACAGTTGCACCTGAGCAAAAATCCTTAGGGGGTGGCTCATAAAGTCGAAGGTCAGTCTTCTTGTCTATGTCGTTATCGCCAAAAAACTATTAACCATCTTCATGTATACTTTTCTCGCAAGTGATCGAACTATCACGCGCTTCCCATTTGTACCTTACATGTAATCGCACAATTGACAAATTAATGTACACCCGAGTACTTTTATCGCAACTTGTGCAAATGTTATGCACGACGATGACTATCTTTTTGACGCTCTCACTATCGTAATGTGCATGAATTATACCCGCAAGCAGTGCTGTAATTTATCGACGTAATTGCGCCAGACGACTTCCCTTGCGACGTGTGGTTGGATGAATTTGTGCACAACGTTGTAATTAAAGTATATTATAGGGGATAAAGAAATCGAGCGAGAGAGACAACAAGAGCGTTTACTTGTGTATATACTATACATATCACCCACCCCACGATTGTTACATCGTCTTGTTAGAGCACAACAGGTAAACCCTATTGTACGCGTGTACATTACATTATATCATATTTGTGTTTTCGATTCGATAACTTCTCATACATATCGACGGTTTATGATGACAGAATGATTTTACAAACAGCGTAAACGCGATTCTCGTGAAATTGCGTGGTGTCCTTTGAAAGAACAGCGGCATCATCGGGGGAGCTGAAGTATTTGCCAGCCGTCAGATCTTTCAAATGTGCGCGCGCAAAGACACAGTTCTGCAACACACTGCGCCGTATAATATTGCGAATGGAAGGATTCGAACGCTCGGGTCAAAAGGACATGATCTTAATTGAAAGGGCAACCGCGCGCTGGTGATGTTACGCGCCACGCTTGATTTTTTTTTTTTTTTTTTCCTCCATCCGTCATAACAAGTATGTACACCAACGTACAAGTAACGCGCGCGAGCTCAGGGGGGCAATAATTCAAACGAGCTGCCGAGAGATGCTGTTTGTTCCTCCGATCTGATGCGAAGAACAAACAATAACGGGGGTGTATGTGTATGCATACACTTCTAGGCTGGTGTATGAATAATATTCCGAAAAGTAAAAACAAATAAGCTGCACGCGAGCAAGCAGCCGTTGAGATCGCAATTATAGATGACACGAAATGACGTACAGGCATATATGTTATAACAGCTGGAGTCGCGATGAGAGACGTAATGTAACACATATACGTATATTTTACGAGCCGAATACGCCGAAGACACGGTACATACAGAGTTTTGGTCCCGCGATGATGTGCACGGCCCCTTTTTATGTTCCACATAGGTACCTCCAAAGACAACGAAGCTCATATACCTAGGTGGGTATAGCTTGAAAATATATGATATACACGCTCTCGCTCTTTATACGGCCGGCTCCCCCCCTCGTATATCTACTTATATATACGTGTGACCTTTTGTGCCTCGAGAACCGCCGAGAGCGGGCGAGAAGGTTACACTCGATTGGAAAGGATCACGATTCCATTTTTTATTGACTGCCTCCCCGTAAAGCCGCGGATTGCCTAATCCTCTGCCGCGAAAGAAGAAAAGAAAGACAAGCTCTGCTCCGAGCGCGGCATTCCGCTCCTCTCTCGACATACGCCTTGTCTGTGTGGCGCTCACATAATACGTGCATACGTGCTCTCCATGGAGCTCCTTTTGAACTCGGGACACGGGCAACATATACATAAATATAGATAAATATATTGTACACGTGGGTTATAAGGTACGTACGTGTGTGTCTCTTTTTCTTCGGAGTTGCAGTATGCTCTCTATCCCCGATGCTGACGGCTATAATGGGGGTATCAACAGTCGTGACCGCCTACCATCGCCCGTACAGTATATGCCGAGCAAATTCCCTCCTCCGCGGGCTCCTTGTTGGGGGGTTGCGCAACGGGCGCGCAAAACGCGATCGCTTAATTGCGCGCCTCCGTGTAACGTGCTTCTCTCTCTCTCTCTCCCCCGGCAGCTTTTCCTTTCTTTCTTTCTTTCATCAGGCACTATACAAGTACAGCGATTTTGGGAGTCTCGTGTACGTTTAGGGCTCGAGCGTGGCCCTCGCATTCTCACGTGCACGTTTTTACCCTAATGGGTAATGCAAGCGAAAGCTCACGCCTCCCAATTTTTGAGCATACATACCATTGGCTCTGTAAGAGGAGGACACGTCTCGCTCTAGACAGGCTAAGCTTGTACATAGATTTTGGAATGAAAAACAAAAAACAAAAGGTACCTGCCATGATGGGTGTTTTGCATTTTTATACGTTGTTGCAGGTGAAAAGCCGTACCAGTGCCAGTGGCCGGAGTGCGAGTGGCGGTTCGCGAGGAGCGACGAGCTTACGCGCCACTATCGGAAGCACACGGGCGCCAAGCCCTTCAAGTGCGGGGTTTGCGAGCGCTCGTTCGCCCGTAGCGATCACCTCGCCCTTCACATGAAGCGGCACCTACCCAAGCAGCATCCCAAGTGACTTTGTACCGGTGCACATCCCTTATACCGTTGCCTCGATGCTCTCGTCTACCACGACCTTTAGACCGCGAATCTCCATGATCTTCTGTAATTATATATATATATTATATTGTATTGTATTGTATGTATATTGAGTATGTATAGGTATAACGTGCATTATATGATGATGGATATCGTGTATTCGGCAAAAAAAGTGTCTCTTGTGTTGTAGCCCGCGACGACGACTGAATGCGCGCGCGCGCGAGTCTGTGTGTTTGTGAATTAGGAGGATGGTGTTTCCCACCCGCCACGCATTTTATTGTATACATAATTATTATACGGAGCTGTTACTACTTAAACATACGATACATGATCATTGGTGCCCGGCGCGCCGACGGCCGTTTTCATATAGGTGTGTTGTCATTTATTTACGAGCGCGAGCTTGCGACAGCTGATCTCCAGGTTACACTTATATGTAGGTTTTTTCGTTTGTCTCCCCTTGGGGTGACGCTACTAATCACCTGTACTCTCTCAAATAAAAGTGTATTTCTCTTGATTGTACATATTTGTTAGAACAACCGAGATATTTCTTCGTTGTTCATGTACCATGTTTTCATTCGTTTGTAATTATGTTGAGAGTAATTTTCATCAAAATTATGTTTTGTTTTTTTTTTAATCCGTACGCAAAGTACCTATATAATTTTAATGCGAGCTATTGCTATGATTTTTAAAAGATAGGTATTAAGTACGGTTTTACGAGTACGCGAATGTGTGTGTGACCTACCGTGTGGCGAGTTCATCAGTAGTAACGGGCGATTTACATCAGCCCGGCCAAGTGATACGTGTATACTACTACTTAAATTTCTGATTCGACATTTATTCCTTACGAGAACATATTTTATTATATGTAAAGTTTCATTCAGTATTATACAAGGCGAGAAAAAATTTATACATTTGTGAATTTTGCAAAATTGTGTAACTCTATTAGAGCGTGATAAAAAACGTGCAATTTGAAATTGAAGCTTAGTTATTTTTAATCGTTAGCACATTCAAGTGATGAAACTTAATTATGATTTTTAAACTATACATTTCATTGTGCTGTTGATATGCAATTTTAACAATCAAATTGATGGAATCAAACGATTTAGGGTATACAATGATAAGCCGTGATATACTTGAAGAAAATTATAGATAAAAATTAATTAATCGTGCATGGCTGTCGGCGCGCTATCGGTGGCTGGTCCACCTTTCTTATTGACAAAAAAAATAAAAACCATATAGATAGATATAAAGTAAAAGTATACATATCTATACGTATAAAAATTAGATGTATATTTCAATTTCTTGCCGATAAAAAAAAAAAGCCAGTTGGTAATATTATAAAAGAACCATTTTCATGGTGATAAACGGTTGTTTTATAAATGTTGCTATTAAGCTTCGACAATTTTGTTTACTTCTTCTTGAGCCGGAATAATTTTGACGTTCACCTTTTTCAGTAATAACGCATCGTCCGTTTTTTATTTCTTCCTGAAATTGAAGGATTTTCGTATACAAATTACCTTTACGGCAGCTGGAAAATCTCGACATGAAATCCATTCGGGCATATTGACATAAGACAATTATTCGAAAATGTGATTCGCGGTTGATACTTTAAGGATGAATTGCATGGAAAATAGCATGATTGTGCCTTAAAAAGGATACATTTATACTACGTCACTAGTCCGAGAGGACGCAATGTGCTATTTAATATTTGGTACACAAATACATATCACATTCAAACATCAAGTTTATGTAGCGCACAAAAGCAAGTGATTCGCGTCTCCTGGAGATGGGAATAATAATAATAAATTATAATAATTANGATACATCTGGTGGCAGAACAGTTGTACCAATCAGACACACAGTTGCATGATCGATTGTAGGTAATATAGTTCAGAAATCCGCAACGCTAGATGGCGCTAATCCTAATAATTATCAATACTTACAGTAAAGCCATGTAATCAATTATAAGCCAGCCGCAACTAATTTTAAAGATAGATAATAAAAAGTTGATGTTGTTTGTGCTATTTGCGGCAAGTTTACAATCTATCTTTTACCCAGAAATCGACCAGGCGTTTTTTCAAGCGTTATCTTTCACAAATTGTGTACTTACGACAAGTTTCTGTAGAAAGGAAAAAAAAAAGAAAAGGTGCCGGTGAAAGTGTCGACCGAGAGAGCAACGTACATATCATTCTTTAATGCGTCTCTTCCAAGACTTTGTATCTTCGTAATACTTGTGTACAGTTCAAAAGCGACGGGAACGCGAAATTACCGGAACTCATATCTCTCTTTTTGTGAGTTTAAACTCTTGCGTCTAGTAATAAAAAAAAAAAAAAAAAAGAATTTTCTTCGCACTTTGATCGTTTTGTCTTTTATTTTGTGTTTCCGTTGCGCAATTTTAATGTAAATGCGTTTATAATTTTATTCTCGTGTAATTGCGAAATTTTTACATAAAAAGTATTCGTAATATATTATAGATATATAGCTGTGTGTACATAACTACACCGAGTCGAAAAAATGAATTGAAAAAAAAAAAAAACGATAAACCTAGTCTGTATCGTGTTCAACGAGATTCGTTGAAATAGTAACGAAAGTAATAATAAATAAAATATGAATCGTTGAATCATCGATCAAGCCTTCTCCTTACTCATCCTTTTTTTTGCTTCTAATAAATCATCACATATTTGAATAAAATTAGGGATGGGAGTCAATGACACATATTTTGACATTATTATAAAATTATATTATTTTTTATTCACCACTTTCATCTTTTATTTACATACTTATATAAAAATCTATCGAATTAATTACTGCAAATTGATTTCTTTCAGTTAAAAAAAGCTAGTCCCACGTGTCCCCGTATTTTGTTTGTTTTTTACCCAAATCTGAGGGCTGTGCATCTTGTGATAAAGGCCGCCTCTGGTAAAACCTGAAAAAAAATAATTTGAAACAAAATGGCGATAAAACAAAAAAAAAAAAACTTTCAAATAATGTATTTGCATAATCTACCTTTCTTGAGGTGCTGGTTGTGGTTGAACTCGATATCTATAAAAGTTGTGTACTCATACATTTTTTATAGGTAAAGTAGGCTTCAAATTTATTGAAAAAAAAAAAATTATAATAGCAATAAATAATAAATAAACGATGNGAAACATGGTGACGGCGTTCGTTCCTTCATATAACGTTTATCACGAAAATTATCTGTGCTTCTTCAGCATAAACAAAGCATCACATAGCGCTTGATACTAAAAGATATTAAACACGCAATACAACAGCATCAGACGCATTCAGTATTTATATTGCTTTTTTTTCCTTATCACTGGAGTAGAGAAACAAAAATGGTAATCCAATTACTTTTTACATCCAAATCGTCATCCAATAGTCTCTCGTAATACGATCTTTTACCTCAGCGGCTAAAAATTTGTTTCCAATAGCTTTTGATTTATTTTTCGTTTTGTTTGTTACACTTTAAAACGACGAAAATATAATACTATAACTACGAAAAGAAAAAAAAAATAAAATAAAATAAAATAAAAGAAAAAGAAAAAAAAAAATATGGTTAACATACCAGAAGGGACAGTATCAAAACTACCAGTTGAAGCTACATCAATATCTGAATTTGGGGTGGCTGTGTCCCACAGTGAGTCATCAGTTTTTGGTGTTTCAACAGTAGTGTAAAATTGACTATTATGTAGTGTATCCCTAAGCAAAAGAGTTATATCCACATAAAGAACATGTTGAATTTTAAATGTATATTTTGAACTTTGTTATAAAAGTGACTGTACCTAGGAGTATTTTCATTTTGAGGGAACATTTTTCTAATAGTACCATCTGGAACTTGCATTACTCTTTGGAGACAAACCTTACTGTACGTAAATCTTCCTAATAAGTATCCAATAACACTAAATCCTATAGTAGTGGGCATTGCTCCAAACACACGGTGATGTAAGGCCCCTGACCTGGCTAGCATAAAGCCACCAACACCAAAAACAATACCCAAAGGAATAGCCCTTTGAACAATACCTTCTCGAGCGCATTCTTTGAGAATCCTTATCTCTTCATGAGTCAATATTACCTATCATGGCATATGATACTTTATGTAACATTTAAATTTTCCTCAAAACTTACTTTGATAAGCTCTGATGATGCAAAAAAAAATCAAAGAAAACAGCATTCCATTTTATTTCGAATACTTTATTTGTTGTGGATAAATGTATGTATACAAATAAGTTCGTTTCTGAATCGTAAATAAGAGGTAGTAACAATTTTTGTAATGAACTCCTTTTATCTAATGTATTATTGCTGAACTCAATGAAAAGGCATCAAATAAAATAAAAATAAAAAAGTGAAAGGAATACTTGATCAGAATGCATTTTATAAGAAAAACTTAGTATGTTTTGTTATCATTTATTAAAAAAGTAAAAAAATACATACGTTTTCTCGCGGTTGTACAGGTAGATTAGGATCCGTCATGTGATTCATATTTGATGACGTGTAACTTATTTTTTCTCTCTAAATATTTAATTATTTCAAAAATAATTTCAATATTGCTATATGATAAACGAAATTTTATAGGTTATATTATGCAGCATATACATAATACTTTTAACACAACACAACCACACTGAGTAAAATCGTTCTGCTACAGTGCTACATCTGAATCTGAAAATGCATCAGTTGGGTTAGGTTCCGCGCAAAACTCTCCGAGATTTGCGCCAGACTCAAAGACCGACGGTCGATAAAATGTTTATTGCAGGAATCTATAATTGCGTGAGTTACAAAGCACCCTCTCATATCGACTGGTCTGGTAAGCAATAAATAAATTTGGTTTGGGGCCGACTTTGATGACAGTTGCGGCTGGTTTATAATTGATGAAATGGCTCTACCGTGTGTTCCAGTAGCGCTCTCCGACAACTTACCGACAACTTAAACATGACGCAAGAAATCGTAAGACATAATTAAGTTGTCAGTAAGTTGTCGGAGAGCGTTACTGGAACACCTAGGCTCAAAGCTCTGATTCAGAATTTTAGGGCCACTTTATAGTTCAGAAATCCGCAACGCTAGATGGCGCTAATCCTAATAATTATCAATACTTACAGTAAAGCCATGTAATCAATTATAAGCCAGCCGCAACTAATCTTATAAATGTAAAATAAAAAGTTAACGGAAATTGTGCTATTCGCGGCAAGTTTACAATCTATCTTTTACCCAGAAATCGACCTCCTATATATTTATACTTTTTTTATTTTTATTTTTTTGACAATTTTTTCTACGTTTTTATGTAGATGTCGTGACTGGGCTTCCGTACAGGACTTATTTTTTATATAGCTTTTGAAATAGAGAAAAAAAAAAAAAAGTGATTTACCTATTGAACTTTTGTTTTTATTAATTATACTTCATCGATACTTAAATTTTGTAAATATTACCTACTTATGAGCGTATTAGAAGTACGCGAGTTAGCGAATGATTTAAATTCTAGATTATAAGTAGGCGATTCGTTTTTTTGCTTATAATTATATTTGCAGAGGAAAAAGTTCGCTAGTATAAAAACACATATTAAAAAAAATGTCTTGGATACCGCTTGAATCCGACCCAAAGGTACGGTTATTTTGTTCATTAAAATTGGAAAAAACCGAAATAATGGTGTTAAATGTCAACAATGATTTTCAGGTTATGACGAAGGTGAGATTCCGCGCTTTTTAGATGAAAATGAAAGCTTTCCAGCTGTAGGAGCGTGCGCTTATTCAAATACTTAAATGAGTACAGGTAATTTTAGCATTCTTATTTATATTTTACTTTTATTTAGTACCTGCACAAACTCGGTGTTCCTACACAATGGGGGCTGGTAGATATGTATGGCTTGGATCCAGACCTCCTAGCTATGTTACCAAAGCCTGTTTTAGCCATTATACTTCTCTATCCTGTTAATCCAAAGGTAGATAAATTTATCTTACCATAAAAATTAGTTTTTAACGAGTTTCAGTATATTTTTTTTAACCACTGATCTAATTCAGTTAGAGAATTATAAGGTAGAATTAGAGTCAAAAGAAAAGGAAAGTGGTGCTAGTAGTGACAAGCTTTATCACATGATCCAGTATGTCTCAAATGCTTGTGGTACTGTAGCATTAATTCATAGTATTGCAAATAATCTTAATCAGTAAGTCTTTACTTGAAGAAGATCTTATTTTCAAACATTATGAGCTGAAAACACTGTAGGAGTTGATTTTTATTTTTAAACTGCTGCTCTGCATTCTTGATGTGTTAAATTTAGAATTCAGCTGGAAGATGGAGAGCTGAAAAAGTTCTTAGAAGATACTAAAGATTTAAGTTCTTCAGAAAGGGGTGAAAAACTTACTAAGGTTGAAGGTATTACTAATGCCCATGAAATATTTGCTCAAGAAGGACAAACTGAGGTAAAAAATATTTTTTTTGTGCTGTAATAGTATATTTGTCAGATGTGCAAGTGAAAAATTATTACTACATTATATAGGCTCCTGCAGAGGATGAAAAAGTGTTGTACCATTTTATAGCTTTTGTTGAAAGGGATGGATCAATATATGATCTAGGTAAATTTCTTTCTATAAAATGTTTTAATTAAATCGATAAAAAAGGCAAACAAATTATTTTTCTTTCAATGAAAGATGGTAGAAAACCATTTCCAATCAATCATGGTCCATCAAGTCCAGTAACTTTTCTTGATGACGCTGCCCGCGTATGCCGAGAGTACATGAAACGCGATCCAGATGAAGTACACTTTCATCTAATGGCTCTTACCGCGAATGAATAAATATGTTGGCTTCTCAAGGTGATATTTTATTATTTTCGCTACATGTATTTTTGTAATCTATTGCAATATCACGTTAAAATGATGTATTTAATTGATAATTTTGTAAAAAGAAATACAAAATAAAATCATGGCAAAAACCATTAACGTTGTGTCATTATAATTTAACAAAATTCATTATTTTAATCTATTTAACGCTTTTTCTCAGTAAAAATTATAAATATTTACGCAAATAATANTGAGCCGACGTGCATTTGTCGAATGGATGCGCCTGATGTTGCGCCAGAGACTCGACGCAAACCTGCACATATATGGGCTTTGTTGCAGGCTCCAAAATATAAGAAAAAAAAAAAAAACAAAAACAAAAAAAACGACCTTTGTCCTTTGCTCGAGTTATTCGTAATACCGTACTATCCAAGTAGAGCCAACGAAACGCTATAACTGTGTTGTACAATTAACACAAGTTTATAGATCATCATCAGTGCTGCATCTTTTCTTTTTTTTTTTTTTTTTTAACTTTATGGCGTTGATGGAATCAGATAGAAATCTTAAGATTACAGTATCAGCTAAGAAAACATTTTGTACATTTTTACACAGATGTTCGATTAACACTCCTATCTATAGAAAACGAGTATTAAAAGAAAAAAGTGATTTCTCGTAGGTGATTAAAGTTGAAATGAAAAAAACAAAAAAAAAATAGGTTTATATCAAGAGTTATTAAAACTATTGAAACATGGTGACGGCGTTCGTTCCTTCATATAACGTTTATCACGAAAATTATCTGTGCTTCTTCAGCATAAACAAAGCATCACATAGCGCTTGATACTAAAAGATATTAAACACGCAATACAACAGCATCAGACGCATTCAGTATTTATATTGCTTTTTTTTCCTTATCACTGGAGTAGAGAAACAAAAATGGTAATCCAATTACTTTTTACATCCAAATCGTCATCCAATAGTCTCTCGTAATACGATCTTTTACCTCAGCGGCTAAAAATTTGTTTCCAATAGCTTTTGATTTATTTTTCGTTTTGTTTGTTACACTTTAAAACGACGAATCTCATTATATCTACAAAATTATGTTTATAAAAAAAAAAAAAAAAAAATGATGCGCTCCCTTTTACACGAAATCACGATAGTACACAACAATTTTGAAATAATAATGATGAGGATGATACCGATCGCGCGCGCGCCCTGTTAAAAGACTATTTGCTAAATGCCTTGACAATTTGCGTGACACTTTCGTAGGTGCCGGTCACGCAGCCGAGGAGGCCGATGACGAGGATGCAGATGTCCTTGCCGATAGTCCACTTGTCGAGGGTCGCGTTCTGCCAGCAAACGACGATCTCGATTATCGGGGGAAACAGGAGAGCCAGAGCCGTGCTGCTTACCGCCCCGACCAGCGAGATGAAGAGCCCGAGCTGCGGGATCGCCGCCGCCAGGACGACTGTTAAAGAGTTTGCGTGTTAATTAAAAAAAACCCACAACGCCTTCGTTCTTTTATTTTATTGTTTTGGTTCAACTCACAAGTTAGGAAGCACAAGGACAGTCTGAACGCGAGCTCCGCGCAGGCGGGCCAGCCAAACGGGCCGTACTTGCTCTCGAATTGGGGCCACATGATGGCGACAGGTACATAAAATTGAAGAGCATAGGACAACAGGATGCTCATCGACAACGCGAGCTTTATGCACTGGGGTAAGCTGAAAATTAAAAAAATCAAAATTAGTCCTCTTGGCGCGCAGATGCGACACGGCGTTTTCTAAGTACGACACGTTAATGCCATACTATTATAACTACTGGACAAAGCAATCAATCGTAGACAGATCGTTGGGTTGCACTTTTCATACGCAGGAGTCAAGGTATAATTTTGTTAATTAGGAAAAATAATGCTCTAGGGGTTAAAAAAAAAATAAATAAATAAATAACAGCTGTCTACTTGTTAAAGCTTCAACTAAATCTATATAAAAGAAACCAATTCAAGGTTCTACGTTATAAAATTGAATAAAAACAACAAATGCACTCTTTTCATGCAAACAAGTTGTTCGAGCTTTGGCACACGCGTGCGTTATCTTACTGTTAAGTCGATAGATATTAACCTGTTGTATAAACTAAATCCTTCTCGTGGTACCCTTCAATATGAAATAAAAAAAAAAAGATATAACAGTAACGTATTACATTAAATTGCGACTTATTTGTTAATGATCATCGTGTTGTTGTGAAAAATTGTGTTATTAGTCGTTAATTCGCTATTTTTGTTACTGTGTTATAAGATAGAGAGAAAAAAAATGATGTTTCAATGTTTTGAGCGAAAGTATTTTATTTCAATAATGTCAATAATGTAGTATGTGCTGATTCGTGTGTAATGAAATGACAATGAATTATAAAAAGTAACTTACGTGTCGGATTTGGGCTCGAGATTCAAAGTGACGGATCCCAAGATATCTTCTCCGTATTTCAGGTACGACAAGAAACCGAGAGCCACAAACATAGCACCGACGATAACCATACCGACGTTCAGCACGCCCATTGGCCTGTCGAAGTTCTTTGGTTTTTTCATCTCATTCTTCAATGGTAACACCTACAAGTGCATATTAACAATTTTATTGGGGATTCTTTTTAACGAGCGATGTTGAGGAAACGATATCGCAATCGGTAAATAAGCATACGGGATAAAATTCGCAGTCGTTTCATTGATAAAAACTCAATAACCCAAGTCTTTTATGCATTCAATGTCTTACTTCATTCCGCGATAAGAATCGAATTTAAACGCAAAGCACTCGATCGTTTATCTGTACTTTTAGATCGAAACGTCACGAGGATGATGTTTGCATACAAGTCGATTTGATTAAATGCTTTCCATCGGTTGTTTGCGATTAACATCCGAATTGAAGATGCAAAAACGTGCGAGTGAAATGAACAACTTACCAAAGTGATGCCCTCAAAGGAGTAGATGACGGTGCCGAAAAATAGGGGCCAGTTCTTCCAAGGGGCCACGTATCTTCGTTCGGAGATGGGGGGTAGGTCCTGACACACCATGTACAGGGTCGCCGCGTAACCGGATATCACAAGTATGTTCGCCACGGAAGATACCGGGACCAGATACTTTAGGTTGCGGATGCACGTGCTCAGCATTATGGGGACCAGTGCGATGATCATGTGGACGTGGACGTCCAAGTTGAGGCCCCAGACTCCCAGCACCTGTTGGCACACAAATCGCACGGCGTGACAAGGTTTTTTTTTCAAGGTAAGATTTGCGGTGATTTTTTTTTTTTTTTTTTTTCAAACTAACATTATTTCATGGATACTTACGGTGTCGTCTGTAATAAAAAAAAGGAGTTAAGCTTTGTGTGGTTGCAGATAAAAGAATTGTGTTTTTTTTTCTCTTTTTACTACGACATTTCTTATTATTGATAATATACACATATAAACATAGTTTTTTAATGGAAAGCACAAAAATCGTTAGTTATTAGTTAAATTTCACCTGCTCCATTTTCATGAAAGTAACAAAAACTATGAAAATGGAGCAGGTGATATTTTCATCTTCAGGCTTATGATAAATTTTGTTTGTTTGTTTTTTTGTTGATTTTATTTATCAAAACTGTGTTGCTCGTTTTGAAAATAAAACAGCCTGCAAATCACATGTTATGTATATGAAACTTTTGATGAATAACGTGCGTGAAATATATGGAGCACCCCAGTTAAAATAAACGGACAAATAAAATACGGGTAACGCTAGCGCGTCCCGAAAATAAATCTCACCTGCTGCATATTCGTAGAAATAAAGACAAAATAGACACAGCAAAATCCGAGTTGCGTAACGCATAGAAACAGATTAACTAATTTTCTGGAAAGACATAGAAAGTTATCAACGCTCTGCGTGAGTACGGACAGTTCATTATGGTTGGGTCGTTTACTGGAGATGATATTTTATATATAATATATGTCGAAGGACGTATATTGTTGATGCGATTGTTTATTGTTTGATGCAGACTGTATCTTCATTGTCATTTTTTGTTTTGTTTTGCAAGCAATGTGAGCCTCTTGGAAGTTGATTGTTTGCACAATGAATACAACATTTAAAATATACGATGCTAAAATTTTACGGAAAGTCAAATTTTACATAATAATATAACGTTTATCACGAAAATTATCTGTGCTTCTTCAGCATAAACAAAGCATCACATAGCGCTTGATACTAAAAGATATTAAACACGCAATACAACAGCATCAGACGCATTCAGTATTTATATTGCTTTTTTTTCCTTATCACTGGAGTAGAGAAACAAAAATGGTAATCCAATTACTTTTTACATCCAAATCGTCATCCAATAGTCTCTCGTAATACGATCTTTTACCTCAGCGGCTAAAAATTTGTTTCCAATAGCTTTTGATTTATTTTTCGTTTTGTTTGTTACACTTTAAAACGACGAATCTCATTATATCTACAAAATTATGTTTATAAAANAAAAAACAGATGTAATTTTTTGTTTGTTTTTAGCAATAGATAGAAAATGGGCTTTGTTTCCATAAAATATGTAGCGTATCTACGAAACAAAAAAAAACAAAAAAATTAAATGACAGTAGTAGCAATAACAATAATAAATTTGAAACGGAAAAAAAAAAATAGATGAAATAAAAATAAAAACAAAGGCGATGCGTATGAAGGCTGGCTTACCCGACTGATCGCTATCTAGACCGGAGAGCTGTTTAATCAATAGATCTTCTAAACCGCTGCCATACTACCTGCGACTGAGAGATTCTTGCGGACTCTCTCTATCAAGAGTCCATCAGCCTGGAAACAAAACCCAGAAAAAACCTTCTCTCCAGCTTTGTCTTTTATTTACGGTTCCTTTGTACAATTCAACACCCAGCGCAAAAGTGCATTTATGTGTGCTAGTCAATTTTCATTTGTTTATTTATTTGTTTTTCCCCTTTTACTACACGTGTTTGTAACTGTGCAATGCATTGACGTAAGCAGAATCAAGTACACATCGAAAATAACGAACGACATCAATTGGGCAGCGTCTTATTTTTCTTTTTATCTTCGATCGGAATATGTTTTAGTGCACAATTGGAAAGATCGAGCTACATATTGTTTTTACATATCTTTGCAAGGTGTATATTTTTCAAGTTCCGACTGTGCACGACAAAATGAGCCAAAAATGACGTGTGAAATTTAATGACCATCAATCGGTCCCTTTCATTTGACGGGTACAAAAAATCATTTTTCATCGATATTATATTTGGGCAAAAATGAAAACGACCGACAATGAATATAATTATACGCTTGTCATGAGTGCGTATACAATTGTTGAATAACTCATGCGACGAGTACTCGTTTAATTGTGTGGCATCTGAAAATGCCTTACCTCATGAATACTGAATACTTTCGTAGGGCGAGGGGTCCAGTTGCGAAGCACATCTCTACCGTGCCCGCGTAGCCGGTCTGCGCGTCCGATGAATCGCCGAGCCTTCGCGTCACCTCCTCGTTGCACTTGAGCTGTCGAAATTTCAACAATATCATCTCATTAACGTCTCCACTAATCATCGTGGTTGAAAGAAGAAAAAAAAAAAAAAAAAAAAAAGAATTTCTACCGCGACGAAAAGTCATCGCTGATGCGCGACGACGCGAAGCCTTGAATATAATTAAGTAGAAGAAAGAAAAAAAATGCATGTTGCAACTGATCTGATTAACCGGTAGCTCATTTGTATATTTATACATGTGTGTATGCATGAGTAAAATACATGCACGCCAACGAATTTCATGAATATATAAATATACATATATGAATGGTATACATTTATATGTTGGCCATACGTACGAGCACGTGTTGGGCGTGGATGCATATGAAGCCGAGGAATATGGTGAGCGGCGGTGCGAGCAGGAGACCGGCGTTTTTGAAAGCGTCGCCGAGGGCAAAAATCCCCGAGCCGACGTTGCCCTTGAAGTGGTGCATCAACGTCTCCACGTACCTTTAAGTGTAATAACGAAATTTTTATTTTTCTCTTGCAACGATTGCACTGTTATATTGATATTGTGGACTTACGATGTTGTGTGGGCAGGCGCTCCGCCGTGGCCATCGTCGCCGCAGCTTTTCCGCGCCTCGATATCCTTATCGAGCCGTAGAATCGGGTCTTTTGATTGAAAAGCTCCATAAGTGCTGTAATTTTTTATTTTTTTATTTAAATAGTTACCCATATCTCAGCTTTATTAACATACATCGTAATGATGTACATTATTTACATGTGATATAAAAGTTTTAGTTAAATAAAAATAATCTCTCGATTTATTTTACATCAGTCTCTCACCATATTAGACATATACAATGAATTGATCGCACGATATGAAGACAAAAAAAAATTATCTCGTTTAAAAGATGCTGTGATTTATCAATTACCCACGCGCCCGGGACTGAAGTACATAGATATACGCTGTAATTTAGAACGAGATAAGAAAAAGTAAAATATTCCATTCCCTCGGACTTACTGAGGTAAGTACTAAAAAAAAAATGAAATTTCTCAACGTAATGGCTATCAATACAAACATCTGTCAAAAGCCAACGTTCAACTGCGGCTGATAAGCCATACCCGTGTAGCCATAGCCGATAAATTTTGTTCTACTCACTGAACAATTTTGTACTACAGATTTTTTTAACTGAACTTACGTCTTTAAATTGAACGTATCGCTTAGATGTTGTTTGTGTGCTATTAAAACAATATTGGCTGTTTTCTTGTCCGAATTCATCTCGAAGTACGTTATGTTACCAACTGACCAAGTAGAATATCAATCACTATTTATACAGAAGTGTACATATCTGTCGTGTATATACATAAACTCACACGCGCACGTTAAAACTCGAGGTTTAGTTAGGAACTCGGTGATAGTGCTGGTGTAGATTTCACAAGTGCATCGCAGCTGAATATCGGGCAACGTTCATCACCGGTCATTCATTAAAAGGCCGAAGCGCCAACTTTGAATACATTATGCGAATCGCGTGCACGAAGAAAAAAAAAAAAAAAATGAAAATTGCTTACTTCTCTTCTTTTTGCTGGGCTTCCTTGGAAACGTATATTGGCGGCTTGGTTGCTGAATTTTGAGTCGTCTTGGTGTGTAACTCCATCTAAAATGACACGCGATACTCCCCACATGAGTAAAGTAGTAGATGCACAAAAAACGAATGAATGACTTGCGTGAAATTCGTCTTCCGGTTTAATGGGTGGTTTTAAAGTTAAGTGCAATAAAAAGGAAAAAAAAAAAAAAAAAGATAAAAGTCGTCGGAAACAATGACGCATTCCACACTGTACAATTACCATCGGGTCATCACTTATCTAGTGAAAGGTAATTTCAGGTAATGCTATACATTATTTATTGTATCTCGTATGGTCTAGTACAATTACTATAGAAGCTCTATTTTGCTCGGAAGCTAAGACTTACTTGTGCTCCTTTGAAATGCGTTTCGGCAAAACTATTCAGAATATTGTGCAATTCTTTAAAAGATTTTCCAAATAATCGAGCAAGCAAAATGACATGGACTCTGCGAAACCGTCGACGATTATTTTTATTTTATTTTTTCAAACTACAAAACATTGAGCGTACGAAGTATGTACAAAAGTTCGCTTCGAGTCGCCCAGGCCTGTGGAATTTTTGCAGCCTCTGCACACTGAGTCAGAACTTGGGCGATAAACGCAACGGCGTTTTTCCCCTCCCGGATAATTTTTCCGCTCAAGATAATAGGACATGGGGAATGTCATATCGAGTAGTATCCATGAGAACTAAAGTATATGAGGAAATCCACAAAAAATGGCCCTTTTTTTGTCTCCCATTTTAATAATAACAATTTTTTTAAGGCACACCTTCGAGATAGGGCTTATTTTACTCGCGATGCCTTGTACACCGTGAGAGGAAAAACATGCACATGGGTTTCAACGGAGGTGACACCGTTTTTTTTTTTTCAATTTATATGCTATTATTATATCTAAATCCATATCATTTATACAGATATAATTTTAACACGCAAATCGCGGAAAAAGGGTGTCACCCTCACTGAAATCCATGTGCACGGCACTACGAGTAAAATGAACCCGGTTTCAAGGAGATGGCTCGAAAAAATTTGTTTATTTAAATGGGGGACGCAAAAACGGGTAATTTTTCGTAGATTTCTTCATACATATATACATAGGCCGTTCCGAATGGTACTTTCCGCGCCTCCGATTTCTCGATCCCGACTAAAATGTGTGTGTCGTTGTAGTAGAATCGCACAATTTCCGTGACTACGCAGCTGCGAACTGTAAAATAATCTACGGGCAACCAAACATGAAAAACAGCGGGGACTAAAAACTAAGTAAGGAAGTCATAAAACACTGGATCGTAAATCGTGAGGATTTCGGTCCTGCTGGGAAACTGTAAAATACACACGCACACGCACACGCACACGTAGTTGTATTGACGCACCGACTCCATCTCGGCTCGCCTTGGCTTAAAACGTCCGTGACGGTGTGGTACAGGGGAGTCGAGTAGGCGCGAAGCCCAGTGTGGCTGCTGCGGCAGCTAATCACCGTTGCTGACGATGGTATTTTTCTCGAAGGTACTTTTCAAGGGTTTGCCTATGCAAGGTGCCTCGCTCGCCACCCGAGTCATTTGTACCTACAGTGTTGTACAATTAACACAAGTTTATAGATCATCATCAGTGCTGCATCTTTTCTTTTTTTTTTTTTTTTTAACTTTATGGCGTTGATGGAATCAGATGTTTGATGGCGTACATGATTGTCCAATTGATTTACTAATCAAGTTTTTGCACGATAATCGGTGCTATTTGCTTAAAAGGATACCCTAAAGGACTATTTCCCGCTCTTTCTCGCAATTAAATTATTTGAATCATATATCTCCTTAACTGTTTGATCGTTAAATATTGATGGATCGATACCGTGGTTTTTTGAGGTATGAAGTTACAATAAAATTGGTTTATTTGTCATAGTTTTATTAAAAAATACCATTGCCCCTGTGTCGAGAAATTCCTCTGAAGTAGGGCTTTTTTTAATTTCATCGCCTATAGTTAAATTTTCAATTGATAACGAAATTTAATATTCTCGGATGTCTATAAAACAAAAGGACAAGGTTGTTAAACTTTAATCGTAAACAATGTTTCATACTTCCAATCAATTTATTTGCAATAAATCATAGCAGTGATTACGACGGTTAATGATTTCAAAGAGTTTTCGATTTCCTTCCTCCTTGACATGGAGAGATTACCGAGCGATTCGAGTATTGGTCGTTGCGCGAGTTAAAAAGCAAAAATTTCGTCAAAAAGGAAACGACAAGAGGGAAAATTCTGATCAACCTTGTGAAGCGAGCACCCACGGGAGAGCGGTATAACAAACGAGTGTTAAATAAATGATGACCGCATCAAGATAATTACGCGGTAATCGGATGATTCACGGCTCTCGGCAAAATTCAAGACTCTACGATGTTAATAATAAAAGCACGGTCGCGTCACCGCGTCGCATAATAATGCAAGGCACCTATAATACACGTAAATACATGTACGGACGTGGCGACGAGATCACTCCCGAAAGATCGGCGTCTCCGTATACCCCCAAACAGTCTACTATGTCGAAGCTTGCGGATTAAGAGGCAATAAATAACAATTGGCGCACCGAGTAACACGAGCCGATTGCCAACTTGAAAAAAAAGCCGCATCCGGCGCTCCGAATGTATTTTCGATCGGTCGCCGCAATCGGTATCGAACGGCTGCGTGTATTTATACATCGGCTCTCTCGTCGTCTCGGAATCGTGACATTTGCACGAGCGCTTCGACAGCCAGAGAGGGAGAGAGAAAAGACGACATGGCTCCGAACTTGCTGATTTAGCTGGTCTTTTCATTATTTTAATACTTGGAACCGTGACCTCTGGCAAAATCGTCGTGTTACACATACGTATACGGTTAATTTGATTGGCCGGAAAGAAGAGAGAGAGAGAGAGAAAAAAGAATAAGAAGCAAGCGAGCAAGGAGCCACTGATTGACTTTGATAAATGCCACTTGATTCGGCCTGTGGTTGGTATAACGCGCTTGCAGCGGTAGCCGTTAAATCATCGTCCCTTTCTTTTGTTTGGATGGCATGAATCAACGCGAGGGGAAAAAATAAATCATCGTTTTGCATTCAACGTCTCTTTCAATGATTCCCAAGTGGCTCGTGAGCGAATTAAACTTTTTTTTCTTTCTTTTTTTCCCCAACGATTTATTATTGTGCGCATGAAGCGAAGACCAACGATTACCTAAATGATGCGTCGTTGGAAATTTTCCTACCGAAAATTACTTCCAAGTACACGACCGTCGCTGAATTAAGTAAGCGCTCTTATTTTTGCGGCAACTCCAAGAGTCTATTTTCGTTGCTCTGTGTTGGTGATAAGTGTTTTAAAACAACAACAAAAAATCAATCAGTTATTCATTCATTGTTTTATCAATTTTTTTTTATTTTTCTTAAAACAATTGGCCGAAAAAAGACAATACTTCTCTTGCAGATTGAATATAAACAGCACGCTTGTAACCTCCCAGAATTAATTTTCGATAGATTTTTTTTTTCCCTAATGATATCACTAGTGTTGCACCCTACGTCGGCTATAAACTCGGTTCAATTGTGATCGTATACTCTTTGTTTTTTCAACTTAGTTTCAGAAGTACCCGTTTATTTTCTCTATATACTTTGGCTTCCGTCAAATGTTTACAGCGCCACCCGCGATACTATATACAACGAACAAGTTCTAAGCGCCTAATATCCGAAAAATAAACATCTGTACTAATTTTAGTGCCATTTAAACTCTCGGCTGTCGCAGAGAAATTTTAACCCATTTATATAGACGTAACTGCGCGTTGTCTCGGCAAAGTTATCGTAAATTTGTTTGTTCGTCCGCCGCGGTCTTCTTGGCGAGTCAAAAGTCCAGACGACATCGGTCAGGTCATCTCACTTCCTCGAGTTGCGTAACCCACAGAGCGCGTGGAAAGGAAAGAAAAAACAAAAATATAATGACCAATCGCTCATCCCCTGTTGAATTGGCACGAGAGCCGCGATCCACCGTCGTCGCTCCTCGATTTCGCGTGTATACAGAGCACCGGCCCCATTGGCGAGAGAGGTTTTCACGGGAGAAACGAAATGGACCCACACCGAAAAAGGGGGACCCTCGGAATAGCGTCTTCTTCGAGCCGGCAGCGCGCGACGCCAATAGGTACGGTCCGCGCTATCTTTAGCGGGGACTTTTGGCGGGTGCCAAGCCCTTTTTGCTCTTTCGAACCGGAATGTCCTACTATTTCGGCGTGTCCGTCGAGTTTTTGCCACGCTCGGTCGCCGATTGCGCAGGCCGATTTTGTAATTATTTTTTTCGCTGCTGCTCTCACACCTCGTGATCGGAAAATTTTCCACTGCACCCGAGTGTGAGAAAGCGAGGGGGCGGGGAGAGAGAAAAAAAAAAAAAAAAAAGATCGAAAATCGGCAGTGCTCCAAGATTGCGCCGCACGAAAATCCGATATACGAGTGTCGGGCTGCAAGCGACTCGACGCAATAGCCGGATAGTCTCCGACTTATAAGCGGTCTCCGAGACTGACGTATATAGGTATTTTACGTTTTGTTGTATGCTTTACGGTCGACTCCTTGGGCTCTGTTTTCCTTCGCAAAGCCGATTGATTTTCTTACGTAAGGATAACGAGGGTATTACTTGTAATTACGCAACCGTTGTCTCTGACGCCGACGCTATTGAGATCTGTTGGGAAAATACTGAAAAATGTACAGATAGACGATTAGGTTCCGATGTCACCGATGTTTTTCAATCGATCGTTATCAAAGAAGCCGATCGCGCGATCAAATAGATGGAACTCCAGTGGGGTGTCTTGCTTCTTTTCTTTCTTTTTTTTTTTTTTTTATGTATTCAATGCGTATCTTTTTTTTGGCAGCGATCATCTTTTTAACGAGCTCGAACCGGTTGGTCAATGTTTTTCTAATAGGCGAACCATCGTTGGTGTACTTGTTTCTCTCGATTAAATAAAGTTTTTTTTTCTTTTTTTTTTTAATGATTAACGATTTTCCCCGTAGTTTTGGACGGTATGCAATCACACCGAAATTACGTCTCGTCGATACACCCGCAAAGTTAGCTCAAAAACCAACGTATCTCTCGAAAGAGGCGATGAAAATTATTAAAAAAAAAAAAAAATTAATTCACACTCATTACCAGGAACTTGGAACACTGTTATTATTGACACAGTTGTGCCAATTATGATACGAACACCTGATCACGAACAACAAACGATCGAAAAAAAAAAAAATAATAATAATAAAAATAAATAAACAATAAACCGGCACAGTTTATACTCCGATGATCGTAGTAGTCGTTGATCTTCAAACTCGCACTCAACACTGACCGAATGATTGACGGATCGATGCCGATCACCTTCGATCGATACCATTTAGTTGTATACCGGGGAGGTCTGACGAAAGCTTATATACATCATAGGTATAATGTATTGGTATTGGTGCAAGTCTGTGTACCTGCCCGATGGCTGCAAACACGCGTCACCGGGGGACTTGACTATACGAGGCTGGTTATAGAGATATGGATTAGTTTGGCAGTGACTTTAACTCACGAAGCGCCAAAATAGATCTCGAGTCTTGAGCCGACGTGCATTTGTCGAATGGATGCGCCTGATGTTGCGCCAGAGACTCGACGCAAACCTGCACATATATGGGCTTTGTTGCAGGCTCCAAAATATAAGAAAAAAAAAAAAAACAAAAACAAAAAAAACGACCTTTGTCCTTTGCTCGAGTTATTCGTAATACCGTACTATCCAAGTAGAGCCAACGAAACGCTATAAATTTCGTGTTGACAAATCTCTGGTACCGATCGAAAGGTTCCATCGAGCCACGTTAAGTATATATATATTATTTCCTCACTGCGTGTTCTTCTTCTTCTTTTCTTTTGTCATTTTTACCGAGAAGCCTGTACCACTTGGGGGAAGAATGCGCTAATGATCAAATATGAGCTAACGATTGCGCAACAACTACCGTTTCACATAATATAGGCGTCCCGTGAGAAAAGCGTGCACGACGAGAGTGTGTAACCACATGATTTATCTGCACGCGATTTAATCGACACGAAGTTTCGGAATTCCTGCTTTGATACAATCTTCTTCTTCTTCTTCTTCGTGAGTTATTTTAATAACGAAGGAATCGCGTGCCTCTCCGCGGATCGTGTCGCGCCACATACACATTTTCAATCCCCAGAGTGTATGTGCATGTGTGTAGGTATGGTTGTTTGTATACTTTGAGCCTCGGATCTCTAATTGTAACGAACAACAGACGATGAGCTTTTTTTTTTTTTTTTTTTTTTTAATCACCCTTAATCATCAGCATTTCGAGTGTAATTGTAACAGCAACATTATCCAATAAAACGATCGCGCACGCGTTTTTAATCACGCGGATGATTCAGGTTTACGATTTGTTATTGTGCAGATATATACGTATGGGCACTTCAGTTTGCCGGCTAGAATAAAGGTATACATTTTTGCCGATAACCAAGTAACTCTGGTAAAATAAAGACTTGCAGTCACGGTATGCTGAATCAGCATGAAATTTCTTCTTTTTTTTCTTTTTTTTTTTTTTTATATATACTATATATGCTTACAATATTTTTTTTTCGCGGTAGATTTACTCTTTTCCCGTTATAAAGGCAAAAGTATATTTGAATCGAAAGAGACGTGACTCGAAATTCAAAAAGCTTTTATCGCCAAATGACTAATACAAATTTTCTTATCTCAATCCGTCTGAGCCATTTACAGCACCGGTAAATTCAATTGCACATAAAGTTCGCGATGGTTGTGATTCCTCCTCGGGCGCGCTTGTAAACACTTGGTTTTCCATACCGATTTCTGTGTATACATGCGTATTTACGTATGACAAAAATCCACGCCAATGCATTCGAAAAGATGAATCGGCCGGCAAATCCGGAAATAACATTTGTTTCATCGCTCGGAAAATAATTGAACACGATCGCCGGCTCGAAGCGTAGCTAAGTTTAAAATTAAATCTATAAGTATAACTATATGCACGTATAAAAAAGCCCGCGAGTGCGCCGCCGCTCCAACTTTAAGCGCGCGTGTGTGCATGTACAACCGCATTTTCATCCGGGGCGAACTATTTATCAAAGTTTCTAAAGTTTATCGGATAAACAGATAAAAAACGTCTAGTAGAAAATACGTTTTTAAATCCTCGAGTTTGCAGTTCCTCCAGAGAATGTCCGATGGCGCGTTGTTCCGGAATTACCTCGATAGAGGTATTTAAAAGAAGAAGAAGAAGAAAAAAAGAGAGAGAGAGAAAAAATGTATCACGAGATGATCGATAGATGGTATCGGATCAAGAAGCCACTCTGGCAGAAGCCAAGTCCTTCAAAGAAATTGGTCCTCCAAGAGGTAAAGAGGATGCCAAATTCCGACTACAGCGATGCCAATAACCCTGTCTATCTTCACGCTGGGTGGACTTTTTCCAAGTTCACTATTGATTCTTGTCTCTGTTGTTTTCAGTTTATCCGTCAAGTTTTCCAAAGTTTGACGATCGGGAAAATTTCAGAAAAATATTTTTTTTCCATCCGCTGTCCTTTCGACGGCACTCAATTCTTCAAGTGCTTTTCGGAGTTTGGGCAGAGCGAGTTTTACAAAGTCCACGTTACTTGGCAAACATTTTAAATGTATACGTGAAGCGCCAAGGCAGATATATAGAAAGTGTACTGTAGTAGAGCAATCAGTACAGAAAAAGATGGAATGTCTATTTTTAATTTGCAAACAAGTAAACTTATTAACACAGCAAGTTACTAAGGAGATAGTGTAGCTACCATAGAAGAGTCTGTAAGTACGCAAAATAATGTCATTTGATGTTGGGTAGATTTATTCGTGTGGGCTACGAGCTACGTCTGACGTATTACGGACTGTGACTACTGAAGCGTATAAAGGTACGTATCTATACACTAGAGCGCGCGGTGGCTCAGTCGGCTAGGTCGTGGATCGGCACGCGGGAGACGCGTCTTTTCGGGCAAGTACCTCTGTGAATTTCACATGTGCTTTTTCACCACGCAATGCTCCTCGAGGAGGGTTTAGGCGACCTTCTCGCAGCATAATTGCCTAATTTCCCCCTACACCCCTCCCAGTAATGGGAAGCCTCCCATCCCTCATCCCTTCCTTCTCCCAAGTGCTAAGTGCCCATAGTAGTGCCCTTATTAAAAGGAGCCGGACGTAGAGCACTATAATATAAAAAAAAAAAAAATCTATACACTAGACTATGCTAATATATAACAAATGTTGGACTGTTTGGTTTGGACGATTTGTAAAACATGTTTTTCATAAATAAATTCCACACGATAGTTCACAGATGAATTTATAACGGTAAAAATATAATTAGATTGACAAATTGAGCAATATAGGTACAAAAATTTCGTTCTCATTCGACAAAAAAACTTTGCTCAATTTATCACGCAATGCAAATCCAAGGGAAAAAATTGCACAATATTAAATTAATGTTACTAGATTGATCAATTTAAACTTTTAATCGAACGATGATATTTTTAAATTCGTGATCTTCCACTCAATAACGGACTTTGTCGTTTGGTCGCAAAACAAATTGCAACAAACTTCAGAAATTCAGTTTAAAACGAAAAACTCAACTCGTACCATAAAAATCATTTAATTTTTGCGAGGTAAACTATTAGCTGTAAAATATGAGTCGATCGGATAGAGTGTGGGTAGGGAAAGAGAGGATTGAAAAAGTCAATATTTACGGCTATTGGCTTTCAGGGGAAAGGGGAAAAATCTAGACTCTCCGGGGGGGTATGGAATTGGATACTTTAGCCGGGAGGTGTGGTTATTATCTTTCAAGCTGCTCCTGTGGCCGTACATTGAACACGTTTACACTGTTCTTTTCTTTATCGTCGGTATTTTCATTATCAGCTAAGATAAGAGAGATAAAAATCTTGGTATACTCGTCCACGGTATTTAGCGTAATTTTTTTTTCATTTACATTGTTCAATGATTGTATCGTGTGTTTTACATACGTACTAAGATTGGCTTATATTACAACAAACTCTACGTCTCGATCTTCGTACAGGAAATTTATACTAAGTAGCACAAAGTAATGTTTGTATGATATCTTAGAAAAAAAAAGACTTACAATGAAGAGTTGCTACGTATATATCTATAATCTAAACGAATGCCAAGACACACAGTAAGAACGAGACGTAATAAACATTAACAAATTAGAAAGAAAAAACATTTACTAGACATACATCACTTGTGAAAAAATTGGTAGGGGTAAATCTAAACTGTATACGTATATGTTATGTATACTCATACGACATAGTGCAAACGTAATCGATGAAAATAACCATGTATATAGCTCCAGAGACTTTTTCAAACGAAATACAAAAGTGCAGTATCAAAACAATGTGAGTGTGTGCAAAGAATTACAGAGAAAAAAGACAAGCGGGGCCTCGAGACCAGACCTGTCGCCCCCAAAGTTTTAGTTTGCCCGCGAATTATTTCTCGCTCGTTAATATACCTGCAGTCGACTCGGCTTGTACACATGCATTGTGTGCGCATTGAACGGGCCCGATTGTAAATTATGCATGTTTACGAGGCGCGGAACGTTTGCGCGATCAGCACTGGAAGTTTTCTCGTGCACGTGTTTGTTTTTCGTCAGACGAGCGAGAAGCGGGAGACAAAATCTCGCGCTGACTTTTCGAGACGCGCGCGCTCGTGGACAAATATTTATGGCAAGCCGTTTGTGTATACAAAAACAGATGGAGAATTCAGTAGTGCACGAATTGAGGGCGTTGCAAATCTCTGATCTCGTGGCTCTTTGGTATTAGAAACAAAAAAAAAAAAAAAAAAAAAAAAAAAAAAAAATTAAAAAAAAAAAANAGGTAACATACATAATTATAAGTATTGACTCTCGGCTCCGCGTTTAATGTAATTCTTATTTTTAACGACGGGAAAGAGCGTACCAAGTGTCACCCGAGTCTATTTCCTCGTTTGCTGCAGAAAAGAAGAAAAAAAAAAAAAAAAAAAAAAGTGTCGAATTTTTTGATAACAACGACATGAACATAATGCTCCGTAGTAACACTATTAGCTTAGCCGTGTAACATGTCTTATCGACAAAATAGTTTCGATTGGATGTACATACATGTATTGGAAATAAAAATAGATAAAAGTACAGTCTAGGATAGTGGGTGTATTGTACATATTTATATATATATTAGCCGGGCGAGGGAAAACGAACCTCGTATCTCGCGGTGCTGTGGACAACGGGGGTGCTGTATTGGTGATCCGATTGTAGGCCCGTGGTCAGCTGCCCATTGATAAGTGACGGCTGGTTCTCCCCCGGTAGCTCGCGCTCGGGTGCAGCGTCTTCTTCGCCGTGGTGCCGCTCGAGTTGGACAACACGCCTGAAGTTTTACGGATAACTCGAGGTTGCCCCGTACGAGGTCCGTGTCACCGCAAGTGTGTGTATATGTATATATATATATATATATATATATGTGTATGCGTATGCGAGTGGAGGGTGAATTTGCACCGAGAGGGGCTCCCCTGGCACTTGGAAGTCGGTGTAGCGCGTGGAGTACGACGACCGAGACGAGACTGCGGCTTTACGTGGACGCCGGGGGGCTGCTTGCTGCTCCACAAAATATTTTTACGCGGCCGGTGCAGATACGCTCAACAGCCTGCGAGCGGCTCTGTGGCTGGCTGACTGCCGTGTCTGCCGTATACCCCACCCCTGTGCCACGGCAGACACGTGCTGCCCGACGCTAATGTGTTCCATCCTCGTCGTCGCCGTTTCTCCCTCGCGCAGTTCACTTGTGTGTGTGTGTAGATAAAACGCGATACGTCTATACCATTGCGTGCTCTTTGTGTGTAGGTGCCACCACCAGAACGTGTCGATGCTCCCTCCTATATTTACACTCGTACGTGCGATGGCATACCTATACGCGATTTTTTCTCTCCAAAAGGCACCAGATGTGTGTTTTTTGCTCTCGTGGTGATGGCTGCATCTTAGAATAATTACTCCCTTCCCCCCCCTCCCTTCCTTTCATCGCCCCTTACGAATACTGTACCCATCTGGTGTGGCCGAGCTCAAAGGGTGGAAAAGTACTGGAAGAAGTACCAGTTGTATATACGGACATGTGCTCCGCACCATGCCGCTTTTTTTTTTTTTTTTTTTTTTTTGTTTTTCCCTCCTTTTCTCGTTTTGCTGCGTTTGTCCGACTCTCCCTCTTACATGTATATAAGTATACTTACGCCAACTTGTACGTATTCCACCACCAAATCCGGACGTACTTAAAAATACTTACACTCTTGGCATTGAATAACTTTCGTGGAAGCTGCGTGTTGAGGTCAAAGGGTTGAAAGTTGTGGGAAACAAAAAACCGAACGAAAAATAATCATTGGAAAAGTAAAATCACAACGACTGTATGGCCTCTATACAAATTTAATTGTAATAGTATACAGACATCAAAAGAAAAAATCAGGACAAAACGTTGTTTCTTATTTCATAATGCAGTTGATAAAATGTCATTACCAGGTAAACTTTCGATTTTTCGAAACTCGTCTTTGAGCGATTTCTAATTATTGATTTGATGGAACATTACGCGATACAAGTAGATGATGTACACCTCCACGTGTAATTTAAAAATAAATTTTTGCAACAATTGTAAACCATAATATATTTTTTTGACATTCCATTCTTATGACAACAATATTGCAGTTTACGAGCAATAGTAACACCTCGTGTACATGTCATTTTATCAATTCGACACGGCAATTATCAACCATGTGTAGCCAGGTGTGCGTTATTCAAAGAGCATCGCTATTACCACAGCTGATAACACGTTCGCCCTCGCTTCCTTCACTACCACCGCTTTTTGCACTTGCAATCAATCGTGTGCTGCAACTAGAGCTGTTTTCTTTTCAAAGGACGCGACGTTATTGCGTATTTGAAAATATTGCCTCGGAAGAAAAATATTATCCTTTATGAACTTTTTTTTTTTTAATCATTTACGAGCAACAAAAGTTGGAATTTATTTTTACAATCGCTCGCTTTTCTGATGACAAATTATTTTCTTATCTCAAAAATTCTTGCGAACAAAGTTTATTATGTATTTTAAACGAATAAATGCTCGATTGTTAAAGTTTTGGATTAAAAAAATTAAAAAAAAAAAAAAAAATTAGCCCGACGAAACGATTGATTTCAATCGGATTAACATTAATTGACCAAATAAATCGGTAGAATTACGATGTGTACCTGTGGGCGCTAAATTAATTAAAGCGCACCAAAATTTGCAATAAAAAACAAAAAAAAAAAAAAACAAAAAGAATTCGGTTCGTTGAAACGTGCAGTGCTCGCGTATTTTTCCGCCACTCATCTCTGCGTACTGGGCGGCGCGTCTGTTCCGCGCGATGAAATGTCAATAAGTTTATTAACAAGTGCACTCCACTTGAGCCTTTACTCTTGCCTCCGTCTAAACTCAAATATAAGATTCTAACGCGCACATGCAATGTGTTTGTTACACCAAGCCAGAGAAAAAAGAAAATCAATCATACGTCGGATCGATGACTAGAAATTATGCGTTATTGGGCCAATATGCGTGTCTTTACAAGCGTTAATTTCAATTCCGTGCCATTACTTTTTATCCTTTTTCCACCGTATGGTTCGATGTTTATCGCCAATAAACCGCAATTTACCTACATTTCCTCATTGGGCCGAATAACGCCGATGATCAATCCAACTTCACACGCGATCGAGACAGAAAAAAAGTCTCTGAGCCGTTGACTCATTCAAGGACATTCTCCTCAACACCCGATAATACTTTTGCGAAATGTAGGCTCTGACTTTAACTTGGACTTCAGGGGGTAACTGTATTGGAAAAAAAAAAAAAAAAAAAAAAAAGTCAAGTAGCTTGATCGGCGTTTGTTGGTGCAGCGCAACCCTTTTGGCAGAGCAGCGCCGATTTGATTTAGCGCTTGTAGGAGCTTCCAATTCATCAGGATTCGAGCCAATTGAAGAAACACGTACATATATATGCATGTGTACAGATACAGCGCCGGCGGGGGGGAGGAGAAATATAATAAACTCGCGTTGTATTACACACATACATGTATACGCGTAAAGCGTGTGTTATACTTACGCGTGACGCGTGTAATCGGTCGTGAATTAATAGCTACACAGGCCCGATCTAAAAATGGTTTATCAAACATCTCGGAGGGTCATGTATATAATATATGTGAGCGCGTCGCGTGCATCACCCGTGTAATTCAACTAATTTTATTACATTGCACGCGCGCGTCACACGTTAATCACGTATTTACACGTATAGCTTGGGTCTTACGCGCCGATGGCACTTGCGCGGTGTTTGAATTATTTTTGCCCCTATAGACACCTTCCTGAAAAATGCTTATTTTTAGGCTCGTCCGATGGTGCATATTGTGGGTAACGAAAGCTTCGTACGACGACGCGTTGCACTTTGACGGTATAACTCTTGGTGAAATATGGATTTTTAATAATACGCTTTATTTTGTCCGACTAATCGAGGCCACAGTTAATTACTAAAATATATATTTTTATTACAAGTATACGAGTAAGAAGTCTGTAAAACTATACGGCGGTGGAAAAGATTTTACTATCCAATTATACATTTATATCTTCAGAAGTGTGTTATTCTTGAGATGCATGGAAAACGTATACATACTATATTATTAAATTCTAAATCAGAGACTTTGGATGTCGAACAACGGCAAAAGTGAATGGTACGATCAACATGTTTTACCATTAGATGCAAAATATAGGTAATTGTTAAATAAATAAAGAATCATCCGTTCGAGGAGTGGATGAGTATATATCAAAAGTTTGTGCATCTTACCGCGTGTTAATTGCAGCCCGAGTTCGGGGCACCGGTGCCTCTTTCTCTTGACGTTTGTTTTAATCTCTCGGCCGCGCGGCGACACCTTTCTGTCCCACATCCATTTTCATCCTCCAATAATAGGCCGCCCCCTGACACAGCTCCGCTATACATATACACGTATACATACGCGTCTTTTCTCTCTGCTCGGGCGTGTATAAATAGATGGTCAAAAAACAAGAAAACCCACGCCAAAGATTTGTTTGCCCCGCATAATTTTTTTGTCTTCTCCTCGAGTGAATGAATTTAAAAATAAATACCTACCTTACTTTACTCCCGTACCTTGAAACAATTGGTAATATTTGTGAAATTGAGAAATCATGTTCAAACTAGGTCAAGTAAAATGATACATCGCGATCTATGATCGGTTTCTACCTTGATGCGAGAAAATTTTTGTTTACGATTCATATGATTATCCAATCGCGATAAAAGATAAGCACTCGAACGTGCAATTGATTGGCACCTACACGAGCAACTTGCACACACCCATCACAAGTGACGCGAGATACAATCTTCGGATGGAATGTATACCTATAGGTAATATCGCACGTGTATAATGCGCGCATTATGTGTCATTATCCCGGGCAATTTCACATTTCCAGTTTTTCTGATGGGAAATTAATCTTTTTTTTTTTTTTCCCCGACACTGCGTGTCTATCTTGCATCTGCTGGCTGCTTTGGATCGCCGACCAGGATTCATTCCTCGACTCGGCAAAACAAAACGAAAATTGCAACTTCCTCGCTGTTACATCATATCGCACGTAAGTTTTATTGGGAAGTAAATTCTACGGGAACGCTGGATGACGACAATGATAATTCTTGCTGTCACCTGATTTTATCGATTTTTTTTTTTTTTTTTTTTTTTTTTCGTCTCTTCCTGCTCATTGTTGAGTACTTGGCGTGCACTGCCCTCTCCGTGGTTTACCTTGTTTTAATCATGCTGTCGCATTGATAATTTCGTTTCCTTTAAAATTATGATTACTATTATTTTTTTTGTTTTTTTTTTTTTTTTTTTTTTATGTACAGAAGTTTCCGAAACAATTAAAAAGTTATTTATAGTTAGCTTGTAACTTGTTTTACTGTTTGTTATCATTGCCACTGAATTTTGTTTATTTTAATGGACGATTTCCAAGCATGGCAACTAGTGATTGTTGTAACACTTACCCGGGATGAATTGATGGATAATATTTGTGCGAGTAATTTACACGTGACCCATATTATGTACCCGTGACTCAAAAGAAAAAATCATACGCCTGGAGCAACACGGTTGCTTTGAAAACCATGTTGTCTTTGAAAAGTAAATAAAACTAGCGCGGAAGTTATTGAGCGTAATGGTTCTATTGTGACGCCACGTGGACCCTTTTGTGCGAGATTCGTACATTACAGCGTAATACGTTTCGGTGAACGGCACATTGTCCAATACATCAAATTTGCAAACAAATAAATCAGGTCAGAACGAGATAAATCCTGTGATCTCAAAACAAGCGGAGGAATGTTTTTTTTTTTTTTCCTTTTCGTTCTTACCGTAACTACACACTAGTGGGATAATACTTATAATATTGCCATAACGTGTTGTTGGAGAAAAACTAGTTTACAATTGTAGCTGCATGAGTGTAAAAAATTATATTACCTAGTACTTAAAGTCGCAGACTAGGTGCTGGGATAAATCGAGGCTACGTGTTTTATAAAAAATTAATTATGTACTGCATCATTGTCATGCACATATATTTTTATTGTAAGCCTTTCAATAAGTAATTTTTCTAATTATCGTGCAAGAGCATTGTAATTTTT